TAACACTATAGACATCTCACTCGATTCCATTTACAAAATTCTAACTGAATAACTAAAGTTAAGCACTTTCTGCTCAAATGAATGCCCAAACATTTGCAACTAGAACAAGAGGCAAGCATTTAATCTTTAAATAAATCCACTTTAAACAAGTAGATTCAAGATCCTGAACCACTTTTCTAAAGAACTGTAATAGAAGATGAAACAGAGCTTTACCACTATGATCCTGAAGAAGAAGCACATTCTAAGCAATGGCTACTAAGAGGTGAAAGCGGTCCGGTTAAAATAAAAGCATGAGTCCAGAACAAAGGTCATTTATTTCTGGGCGTGTTCAAAGCATTTGCTTGTTGACTTTCTGGAGACACAAAGAATAATAACATCTGCTCATTATGACAATATTTCAAGAATGTCAGCCAACAGTTTGAAATTTCGTTCTATATTTTCCTTCCACTCTATCCAGGATCTTTTAATTGCTTCTTTCAGAGCAATTGTTTTTTTCTCTCAAGGTTGGAGAGACTGATGCTTACATTGTTCTTTAGTCCATTAGAATAATTGTTTCATATGTTTTCAATTTTTTTTACTCTTCAAACAGGGAGAGTCCAATATTTCCCACCTTACATAGATGCTCATAAGATTTCAAGACCTGGTGATCCTCACCAAAGCGAGAGATAGAAGATGGTCTTTGTGGACAATGTTTTTCCAATTGATTTTAGTGTCTGCAGAGACTTATCCTGAGCCCCCAGGTCCAGAAATTCATTCCCTCAGAATGTTTGGTTATGGTTAAAATGTTTTCATAACTTTACGTCCATATACTTTTTTCTGTTGTCTTAAAGTGGGGTCCAACTCATAGAACCCTATGTGCAACAGAACAATATATAAAGCAGTCCTGTACCATTCTCACAATTAATTATGCTGGAGCCTACTGTTCCAGTCACTGTGTCATTCCATCTTGTCCAGGGTCATCCACTTTTCAATGATCCTCCACTTTACCAAGTATGATGTCCGTTTACAAGGACTGGTCTCTCCTGACAAGATGTCAGAAGTAAATGAGGTGAAGTCTTGTCATCCTTGCTTCCAAGGAGTATTTCAGTTATACTTCTTCCAAATCACACTTGTTTGTTCTTCTGGCAGTCCACAGAACTTCCAATATTCTCTGCCAGTACTATAATTACAATGCATTGATTCTTTGGTTTTCTTTATTCAGTGTCCAACTTTGACATGCATATAGTGCAATTGAGAATATCATAGCTTGGATCAGGCACACTGTAGTGCTCCAAGTGAAACAGGGTCTTCAACACTTTAAAGATGTCTTGAAGCAGATCTGCCCAATGCAAACACTGTTTGAATTCTTGACTGAGGTTTCCATGAGCATACATTGAGCATCCAAACAATATGAAATACTTAACAATCTTAATCTTTTCTCTGTGCATCATGATGCTATCTGCTGGTCCTATTGTGAGCATCTTTGTTTTCTTTATATTGAGTTGCAATTTAAACTGAAGGACACAAATACTTCATTAGAAAATACTTCAAGTCCTCCTCACTTTCAGGAAGCAAGGTTGTGTCACTGCTAATAAACCGTCATTAGCTAATACTTCATGTCCTCTTCCTTTTGGGAAGCAAGGTTGTAGCATCTGCTAATAACCCTTCCAATCTTAATGCTCCTCTGTTAAGACTTCCAAACCCAATTTCACATTCTTTTACATATAGTTAGCTTCTGATTATGTGCTCAGCATGCAGATTGAATAGGTATAGTGAAAGGATACAACCCTGACACACACTTTTTCTGATTTTTAAATTAAGTAGTAGTCCCTACTTCTCTTCCAACAATTGTCTCTTGGTCTATGTGTAGGTTTCCCATGAGCACAATCAAGTGTTCAAGAATTACCATTCTTCTCAAGGCTGTCCATAGTCTGTTACAATCCACACAATCAAATGTCTTTGCATAATCAACAAAACACAAGTAAATACCTTCCTGGTAGTCTCTGCTTTGAACTGAAATCCATCTGATGTTTTAAGTCCTTTTGAATCTCTGGCAGTTACCTGCTGCTATAATGCTGCTATACTATTGGATGATATTCAGCAAAATTTTACTGCAAGAGATAGAAATCATTTGATAATTTTCACATTCTGTTGGGTCATCTTATTTTGGAATGGGTAAAAATATGGATTTCTTCAGGTCAGTTGACTAAAGAGCTGTCTACCAAATTTCTTGGTATAGGTGAGTGAATTATTCCAGCGCTCCGACATTTTGTTAAACTATTTCAATTGGTATTCTATCAATTCCTGGAGCCTTGCTTTTGGCTAACACATCCAGAGCAGCTTAGACCTCACCTTTTAGAAACATAAGCTCTTGATCATATGCTGCCTCTTGATATGGTTGGATGTCGACAAGTTCTTCAGGCCAGTGACTCGTGGATTCTTTCCATTTCCTTTTAATGCTCCCTGCATCATTTAATAGTTTGCACATACAATCTTTCAATGTTACAACTCCAAGTTTCACTTTGTTTCTTTAGATTTATCAGCTTGGAATATAATGAGTGTATTCTAGTTTTTGGTTCTCTAACTCCAGGTCTTTACACATTTTATTACAAAACTATGTTTTTTCAGGCTGTTCTTTGAAAATTTCTGTTCAGCTCTGCTGACCGATCATTTCTTCAACTTATTTTTTAGCTACTCGGCAATCAAAATCAAATTTCAGAGTCTCTTCTGATATCTACTTTGATCTTTTCATTCTTTATTGTCCATTTAATAACCTTTTGTTTTCTTCATGGATGGTATCGACATGTCATCCCACATTCCTTGGGATTTCTGTCATTAGTGTTCAATGAGTAAAATTTATTCTTGAGATGTTCACCAAATTCAGGTGGGATATCCTCAAGGCTGTATTTTTGCTCTCATTTACTTTCTAAAATTTCCATCAACTTCAATCTGAACTTACAGATGAGAAATTGATGATTTGTTCCACAGTGGCCCCTGGCCCCATTTAGTTGCTTGTGGTTTGTAAAATATAATACACAAACAAAAATACTCTATGTAGTTGCAAAACCCATCTCATCAAGTCCATAGCAGTATCTCATTAAATTGTCATGTATATAGGTTGTTACCCCACACCGCTCCACCTCTCCCCACCCCACAACCCTGGCCTTGTTAGTAACCATTAAAGTCTTATCCTTTGGTGTGAAATCATTTTTCATTTTATTTTTTTTATAATAATGGTATAAAATATTAATCTTTATAAGATTGATGACTTTTGTGGGAATTGCACCTGATCTGACCCCACCACACCAAGGCAAAGCACTAAAGGCGTGCAACAAAACAGCAAGGGGAACAGGGCAAGGAAGTTCTGAGGGAGTATAAAAAATAGACTTTGGGGCCAGGGCATGGCATCCCATCAAACTCAACTGGAAAAAACTCCTAAAGGTCAACAAACAGACCTTGAACTATTTACAGGTTTTTCTTTTTTTTGTCATTGGTTTTTTGTTGTTGTTGTTGTTTTGTTTTCTTTTGTTGCTTTGTTTTGCTCTGTCTTGTTTTTGTATATATTATTATCTCTGCATGTCTATCTAGATAGGATAGGCGGGATGAACAATCTGGAGGAGAAAACAACAGAACGATGGTTGGGGGGATGGGGGAGAAGGGGACAAGAACTGGGTGTTAACAAACCCAAGAAAAAGGAAACAACAAGTGATCCAAAATTGGTGGCGAGGAGGGTGTAAAAGTCCTGGTAGTGTTTGATAAGGGCAATGTAACCGAGAAGAATTACTGAAACCCAAATGAAGGCTGAGCATGATAGTGGGACAAGAGAAAAGTGAAAGGAAACAGAGGAAAGAACTAGGAGGCAAAGATCATTTACAGAGATCTAAATACAGGCATGTACAGATGTGAATATATTTATATATGATGATGGGGAAATAGATCTATGTGCATATATTTATTGGTTTAGTATTAAGGTAACAGATGGACATTGGGTCTCCACTCAAGTACTCTCTCAATGCAAGAACGCTTTGTTCTATTAACCTGGCATTCCATTATGCTCACCTTCCCGACATGATCGCTGAAGACAAAGCGGGTGCATAAGCAAATGTGGTGAAGAAAGCTAATGGTGCCTGGCTATCAAAAGATATAGCGCCTGGGGTCTTAAAGGCTTAAAGATAAACAAGCGGCCATCTAGCTCAGAAACAACAAAGCCCACATGGAAGAAGCACACCAGCCTGTCTGATCATGAGGTATCGATGGGATCGGGTACCAGGCATCAAAGAATTAAAAAATCGTATCATTGTGAATGAGGGAGAGTACGGAGTGGAGACCCACAGCCCATCTGTAGGCAACTGGACATCCCCTTACAAAAGGGTCGTGAGGAGGAGACAAGCCAGTCAGGGTGCAGTATAGCAACGACGAAACATACAACCTTCCTCTAGGTACTTAATGCTTCCTCCCCCCGACTATCACGATCCCAATTATCCCTTACAAATCCAGCTAGACCAGAAGATGTACACTGGTACAGACAGGAACTGGAAACACAGGGAATCCAGGACAGATGAACCCGTCAGGACCAGTGGTGAGAGTGGTGATACTGGGATGTGAAGGGAAGGTGGGGTAGAATGGGTAAAATGATGGAACATATAACCCCAGCCATGTCATAAGGTGTTTAACATTGTTTTTAAAGGATGCATAATATTCCATTGTATGTATGCACTAAAGTTTGGTTATCCATCCCTTTATCGTCAAAGCTTTTTATTGTTTCCATCTCTTGGCTATTATAGAAATTGTTGCAATTAACATAGATGTATATATGTCTATTCATGTTTTCTTCTGTATTTCTTTAAGGTATATACCAAGTAGAGAGATTGTAGGATTATAAAATATTTTTACCAAAATAAGTAATTTTGACTGACAAGAAATGTATGTAAGACAATAATAAATTTGGTACAAATGGATCTCTGCTTCTAGAGCTTATCTGTAACTCACACACAAATACAAAGAAGGACGATCTTACTTACCTGTGTACGTAATGTAGTTGATGAACTGAATCTATTGCTATCACCATTTCAGCCAAGTAAAATCGAGCCATTTCTTCAGGCAATCTATCTTCAAATTTGCTGAGCAGAGTTAGCAAATCTCCTCCAACATAATAATCCATAACCAGGTACTGGGAGTGAAAAAATGTACTCAATAAACACTAAGAATAAAAAGCTTGTATATTTAACACATGACTATAGCACTAAGCCAGCATTCATGTGTTTAATTAATACGAAGCTGTCGATGATCCCCAGCAGTCATTTCCAGAATATTAAATTACACAAAATTAAAATAAAGTTAAAAATTGAGACAGGTGACAACATAGGACTACATTCTTTACTTATATGGTTAAAGTAAAAATAGACTCCAAAGCTTTACCTGATAAAGTCTGGATATTTCAGCTATCAAAAAAAATTTTTTTGAGGAAGGAAAAAAATATAAAATATAGGACAGTCTTTTATGTTGAATCAATCCATCTTCATTGTCATTAAATTTTCTTTATCTTATGCTAAGAACTTTATGGTACCTAGCACTAAACAACATTTAGAAACAACACATATACAGCATATAGTAATTGTCATCATAAATGTTTCTCTTTCTGATTTCTGATACTGTATTAATATCAGAATGCACTTTTCACAAGTATTATATATGTACACAGAAGCCAACTAATTTCAGATATGGACCCTTCAGTGTATGTGTATTCATGCAAAAAAAAAAGATACACTAAAACATTAATAGGGATTATCTCTGACATGTTAGATTATAGATGAGGTCTGTTTTTTTCCCATTATTTTCTATAATATTATACAAAAACTGATTGCAGATACATGTGCATGTGATCATACATTATTTTAAAATTATGCTGTTGAAATTGGAGTTTAATATTCATATATACAGTGTTAGAACATAACTAATTCATTTAAGAAACACTGAATGGATGTCAATTAGGATAATTTTATATAAAATGCAGGAAAAAACCCAGAGGCTAAGGAGATAAACACAGGTCCCTAATCAAAAGGCTTTTCTATTTTGAAAATCTATTCTTGCACCAAAATCATAAGAGATATGAATACCCCATCTAGGTAAACTGCAAAAAAAGGAAAACCAACCTTATTTATTTGCCATCAATGCTTACTGTCTAAAATGATGGCTACTTCATTTATCCATCATCTACCTTCTCCTTTCATTCCATTCTGCTACATGTTTCAATAGCAAAATGTTAATAGGGTTTATCTCTGAGGAGTTAGATTTTGAAAGATGCTGTATTTTTATTATTTTCACAAACCATATGCAAAATGTATTACGTGTACATGTGTATATTATATTATTAAAGGTGGGAGAAAATAGGTATAGTGAAAAATCGGGCTCTAGTAATAATAGTCTACATAATGGATTGTGCTAAGAGTCAGATGAGCCCCCAATGAAACGATTAAAAAATAATAATAATAACAGACCAGGGCTCAAGTAGAAAGCAAATGTTTTGGGAATGATGATGGCAACAAATGTACAAATATGTTTGACACAATGGATATATATATATGGATTGTGATAAGAATTGTACGAGCCCCCAATAAAATGATTTAAAGAAAAAAAATAGTCTACATACTGCTAATAAACTCCAATTCCCAGAAAGTCTTTACATTTGTCTTACCAATCCCTTTCACTATGTCCTACCAAATGTCTTTCATAGAAAACGAACTACAAAATAAAATGGAAATATAAGAATTCCTAGTTTTCCTTTCCCAATGCCCTGGAACAATGTTCTGGTTATGCCTACTCATAATCTTCCCCTATCTTACTCTCAGAGACAAGCTATTTAAATTACTAACAATTAGGAAAAGAAGAAGGTACAAAAGAAGACTCTAAAGGGTAAAATGAGTTGAAAATTATCAATATTTGCAATATTTCAATGACAGCAAAACAAGATGTGTCAGGAGAGGCAAAAATTTGAGATACATTCTGAAGCACAAGGTTCCTCTCCCTCTATCACAATATTCAAATAAGTGCCATCAAGATATGAAATCAACCTATTCATACTTCCTCTTTGATTACTCAGAAGACTAAGTAATAAAATTACTCAAAAAATTTAAAGTAAACAATTTAACCAAAGTCTTGTTAATTTTACTTCCTACTAAAATGTGTCTGCCACACTTCAGTCTGCCGTACTGTGTTGGTTTGTATATTGCTGTAGTGCTAGAAAGCTATGCTAATGATATTTCAAATATGAGCAAGGTTGCCATGTTTAACAGATTTCAGCAAAGCTTCCAGACTAAGTACAACAGATTAGGAAGAAGGAGGTGTTGTCTATTTCTCTATGGAACCCTGTAAGATACAGTGCCAGAAGATTAGACTGTTAAGGCAGAAGGTACACAAATGGTACGGAGGCTATGTCTGGTCTCCGCCATTCTAACTTTCTTTACCCTATTCTGATTCCAACCATTGTTTCACAGTGCTTTACTTCTCATCTAGGTTCAACAGTCTGTTACAATGGCCATACAGAACTCATAGACCAAAATACTCGTGACTATGGGGCTTATTTGGGAAGCTAACAGATCACAGTCATGATCAGAAATCTAAGGATACAGTTCTTAGTTCACAACACTTAATCTCAGCCATACTAGTTGAACATCTAGCAAAGCTTTTGTGACCTTTTGCTGAAAAAGTACGACATGAAATAAGAAGAAACGGCTGGAAACATACATTAATAATTGATATGTAGGACGTACATGGCAGTACCAAAAAATGGATTCCCTCCCTTCAAAAGCTATATATTTAAAGGTTTTTACAAAACAACCTTATCACCATCACAGTACTCTCCACTACACTTAATACATTTGTCAAATCTGTGATTCCATTTTTGGAAACATTTTTCAAACTCATCTGTTTGGATGGCTGACAGCACCTCCCTCATTTTTTTCTTCACCTCTTTTATGTTGTCAAATTGCTGTCCTTTCATGTCCTTCTTCATTCGCAGAAACAAAAAGAAGTTGCACAGAACGAAGTAAGGTGAGTAAGGTGCATGGGACAAGAGAGGCATACTTATTTTACCAGAAACTGGCACACTGAGCTGGCTGCATAAGCAGGTGTGCATTGTTGTTGTGGCAAAACCAGTCCCCACAAATCACACCCTTTTTGTTGAACATTGCTACACAATCTTTTCAGAACCTTTAAATAGAACACTTGATTAACAGCCTAACCTGGTAGAATGAACTCCAAATGAGTCGACATTTTTGTCTGTTTGAGAAGTTGACAGACGTCCAGGACGAGTTTTGTCATCAACATTTCACCCTTTTTTGAAATAAGAAAAACACTCATACACATGAGTTTTTCCCATGGTGTTGTGCTTGTAAGCTGTGTTCAACATCACAACAATTTCTACAGCATTTTTCCTGAGCAGGAAACACAACAGGTCCGACAGTTCCAGGGGGACATGGGAGAGGGGACGGCGGGGGAAAGGCAGTGAGTGTTAGGTAACAAACCCAGGACCACGGGAACAACAAGTGATCCAAATTCAATGGCAAGGAGGGTGTAGGAGGCCTGGTAGGACTTAATCAAGGGCAATGCAACCGAGAGGAATTACTGAAACCCAAATGAAGGCTGAGCATGATAGTGGAACGAGAGGAAAATAAAAGGAAATAGATGAATGAACTAGGAGGCAAAGGACATTTATAAAGGTCTAAATACAGGCATGTACATATGTGAATATATTTATATATGATGATGGGAAAATAGATCTATGTGCATATATTAATAGGTTTAGTATTAAGGTAGCAGATGGACATTGGGCCTCAACTCAAGTACTCTCTCAATGCAAGAACATTTTGTTCTATTAAACTGGCATTCCATGATATTTACCTTCCTGAAATGATCACTGAAGACAAAGCGGGTGCTTAAGTAAATGTGGCGAAGAAAGCTGATGATGCCTGGCTATCAAAAGATTAGCATCTGGGGTCTTAAAGGCTTGAAGGTAAACAAGCGGCCATCTAGCTGAGAAGCAACACAGCACAGATAGGAGAAGCATACCAGCCTGTGTGATCATGGGGTGTTGATGGTATCAGGGATCAGGCATCAAAGAACAAAAAAATCAATCACTGTGAATGAGGGGGAGTGTGGAGTGGAGTGGAGTGGAGACCCAAAGCCCATATGTAGGCAACTGGACATCCCCTAAAAGAAGGGTGGTGGGGAGTAGACAAGCCAGTCAGGGTACAGTATAGTACTGATGAAACGTACAACTTTCCCCTAGCTCTTTAATGCTTCCTGCTCCCACCCCCACTATCATGATCCCAATTTTATCTTACAAATCTGGCTAAATCAGAGGTTGTACACGGGTACAGATAAGAGCTGGAAACACAGGGAATCCAGAATAGATAAACCCCTTGGGACCAATAATGAGAGCAGCGATACCAGGAGAGTAAGGGGAAGGTGGGGGAGAAAGGGGAACCAATGACAAGGATCTACATATAACCTCCTCTCTGGGGGATGGACAGCAGAAAAGTGGGTGAAGGGAGACATCGGACAGTGTAAGACATGAAAAAATAGTAATAATTTATAAATTATCAAGAATTCATGAGATAAGGGCAGCAGAGAGGGAGGGGAAAAACAAGCATCTGATACCAAGGGCTCAAGTAGAAATAAAATGTTTTGAGAATGATGATGGCAACAAATGTACAAATGAGCTTGACAGAATGGATGTACGTATGGATTGTGGTAAGAGTTATACGAGCCCCAATAAAATGATTTTAAAAAGAAGAAAGGAAAAAAAAAATTCTCTTTAAAATGTTAAAGACCAAAGATGGCATTGTGAGGTATGTATAGTAAAGAGAAACTGCTTAGATGTGGCTCTCAACAAATGATTGTGTGGAGCCTAGCAAATAGAGTATATAAAATAATAATAGGGGGACTCTTTCCTTTTGCATTTCTCTAGGTATAAGATAGTCATCTCAGAAGTGGTTTTTCAAAAAGTTACATATAGAATTACCATATGATACAGAAATCCTATTCCTATGTACATACTCAAAAATATGTTTGACAAGAAAGAAGAAAAGGTTTTAAAACTGATTTTGGTAGCAATTATACAATACTGCTTGATGTGATTAAATTACAGAATGAAAAAAAATTAAAAAATAAATTACAGAATGGTCCAATTTTTGGATTAACTTCTAATAAAATGGCTTGAAAGAAAAGGAAAAAAACGTATCAAATTTAAACTTAAGAATAGATTTGAAATAAAATGTTTAGTCCCCCCACAAAAAAGATATTTAAACAAAGTGTTCACTCACTATAGCATACTTCATAATGAACACCGGGGACTGTTGTAATGAAAACCACCACCGCACAAGCTTTCGTCAAGAAATGAATTGAGAAAAATGTTAGTGAAGTAGATTTTTTTTCATGTGTTTAAAATGTGGAAACTATTCTTAGCTTGTAAAACACTCTAGTGGGATGAATTTACTTTGGGGCTAAGTCCTGATCTATAAGACAAGGACTCCAAGATACATGTGCTATTGCAAACAACTCTCTTACAGAATCAATCCAGTCATTAAAGGGATCACATGACAATTCAATCCAACATACTACATATTAAACTGATCATTTCATCCCCCACTCTGAATTTTTTTCTTTCCTTGATATTCCCAATTCGGTTCAAGTACTGATCACCAAATACCAGAAGTTAGACATCTGGAAACAGAATCATTCTGACTTTTCTCTCTTCCAGCGACATCTATACAAACATAACCAAGTCTTAGATTTTTACTTCCAAAGAGGTACTTGAAATCACCCCTTCTTTTCACTTGACATTATCACCATTACTCAAGTCCTCATCATCTGTCACAAATAAATCATAAAAGTTTTCTAACTGGTCTCCTTGCCTATAATTTTACCCCCCAAATCTAGCCACACTGCAGCCAAGATGCTCTATGTAAAATGTAAAACTATTAACCTCATTCTCCTTAAAAGCTTCCTTGAAATTACAATAAATTACACAAAATTCTGATTGTGGATGCCTCAATTTTTATCTCCTGCCCTTTGTAATTACCCTCTAATCTAAGGTGGCAAGATTTAAAGTGGGACACCACTGACCGGGAGGGGGGCAGGGGGGTGTTCTTGATTAAAACTTGGTCTATATGGACCATATAGACCGTTCCCTAGCTTGTTGTGCATTCTTTCCAAAAATCAGGACTTTTTTAAAATGCCAAAAATCGGGACTGTCCTGCCAAAAGCGGGACATCTGATCACTTTACTCTAATCATACTAGCATTCTTCATAGCCCTCAAACAACATTACTTCTTTTTGGCCCCAAATCCACCCTCAAACCCAAAGCAGTTCTCAAATTTTGCTCTCTAAAGACCCTCTCAGTGATTTCAAGAAGGTCAAAAGAAAAAAGCTAGAAAATTAATCAGGACAGTCCCATTTCTCTATGTTTTATTATCTATACTTTCAGTTATATTCTGTCATTTTAAAAATAAACAAAAGAATCTGATAACCAAAAAATAAGCTTGGAAAGGACATACACTGTCATCTACCCTTCCAGCAAAGCATACATATCATGTGACATGCTTGCCTTTCCTCCTTTATCCCCAAACCTCATTTTCTATCTTCCATCAATACATGTATAGATAACTACTTCAGACTTCTACATTTTTGCTCACCAAGCCCTACCTACCTAACTCTTCTCCCTTCATTTCTGAGCTAATTTATATTTGCTTTAGAAAAATCTGTAAAAGGATAAAATTTGGGTTAGTTTTGACTTGCTTATTTAAAAAACATACAGAATTCAAATGGAAAGATACTAAACTACAGTAATATCAAATGAACAAATTTTACTCTGTGAAAGTCATTTTCAATATAACATCTAAGTTTATATAACTTAAAATAATGTTAAATTATGTCAAGGAAAAATTAATAAGTACATAAAAATATATAAATGTTTCTTACTAAGTTATTGTCATCCTGAAAGGCATAGTGCAAAGTTGTAATCCATTTATTGTCTCCATTTACTAATACATCCCTTTCTTCTCGGAAACATGCTGTCTGAAAAAGAAAAAAAATTTAGAGGGATAACGGATTTTATAATGCTACGATATATTGTTCAAACTGGTTGATTATATTATACTATTTCTGCCTGGAAAAGGATTACCTACCATATTACAAGAATTTTTAGCAGTTCTAACAAGTTTAAAAGCATCCTCAAAAATGGCAAAGTTAGAACATATTTTTAAAATGTTTTGTTCTATTTTTGGTGAGTGTTTATAAAGCAAATTAACAATTTCTAAAAAATTACTGTTCAACATTAGTTGCATTTCCATATTGTGTCAATATCCCAGTTATTTTCATTCTGTTTGGACAATATATTTACAATTTTGATGTTAAAAATATCATTAGAATTCAAACAATGTCAGAAAAATACCCAAAGTAACCTAACCCACATATTAACCCATAAGCCAGATAAAATGTTGTTTATCATATTTACTTTGAATTCTTTATATTTTTATAGAAATAAGATGAGTTTCAGTCTTCATTCTTCTTTCTCATTCTCTTAACTTACTCCTCAGACATAACAAATAATAATCATATGCTTTAATCACACACATTATGGATACATACACTTGTATCCACAAACAAATTGTGTTGCTTTATGTTTTAAAAAGTTACACAAATGGTGTAATTTTATTTATACTTTTCTAACTTAATCACAGTTTAAATTATGACTTCAAAATTTATCTACATATAATGACTTTTCCTTTCCACTCTAAGGTATTCCACTGTTGGAATATAACAGTATTTTTTAAATTAAATATTCAAATAATGGAAATGTTGGTCATTTCCAATTTCATATTATTACAATGTCAATTTTTGCAAATGTACAGAATTTCTCAAGGTTATGTAAACAGAAAGAGAAAAAAGCATTTTGAACTTTTTCAGAGATAAGTCAAGCACCACTACTTTGAACTCAGTTTATCAATAAATAAGCCCCTTTTCCAAAACCCTCATAAGCCTACAGCCATCAAGTCAATTCCAACTCATAGGAACTCTAAAGAATTTCTACAATTGCAAATTTTTACAGACACAGAAAATCACATCTTTCTTCTGCCAAGTTTTTTTCTTTTTCTTCCAAGTTTATGGATAGTTAGAAACATTAGCCAATACCTAATTTGAGTATCTAGCAGACAGTGGAAGTAAAATTATACTCGTTTTTTAAAACTGTATTCTTTATTAAGAGAAGATTGGTAACTTTTCATATGTATGTTAGACATCTGAGCTTTCTCTTTGAATTTTCAACTCATTTCTTCATTTTTTTCTAATGGATTACTTTTTGCAATTGGTTTGTAAATGAAAATCTACTCAGAGAAGTGCAGTCAGAAGGTTCATTAGAACACAGGATGGCGTAGAACACAGGATGGCGTGACTTTGTCTCACATACTTTGGATGTGTTATCAGAAGAGACTAGTCCCAGGAAAAGGAAATCATGCTTGGTAAAATATAAGAGTATTATAAAAGAGGAAGACAATTTCAAGAAAGGGGTTCCAGCATGAGAGCTATTGTGAGGACTGTGCAGAGCTGAGCAGTATTTCATTCTCTTGTACATAGGATCCCTATGAGTGAGAGCTGACTCAATAGCAACCAACAATGATAACTTCATATGGGAGGGAAGAGACCCAGGTTAAGCAAAGGATTCCTTAAGAGAAGAGCAAAGTAGGAAGCCATGCGACCTCAAAACCTATCACCCACAGTCACTATAGTCAAAAAGCCTGGTATTGACACAGTGATATATACACAGACCAATGGAACACACCAAAACACAAAAATAAATTCATCCACCTACAGGCAACTAATCTTCAAAAGGGGCCAAAAATATTAATAGGGAAGATACATTTTTCAACAAATGACACTGGAAAAAATGGATCTCCATCTGCTGGAGTAGGGAACCAGTGGAGAGGGCTGGGGGGCTGGGCCCAGTCCCAAATACTAAGTGTATACCTGCCCCTCCCCCGAGAAGTTATTTCAAAGGATGGCACTGAATCCGCAGCTTCGGGAGAAGTATATATCTGACCAGAGCACACAGGAGCAGATGACGGGGTAGGAGGAGAGACAGGAGCACATCCTGGCCCACCAGGCC